AGACCATAAATGTCTACATTTTTGTATTTCTTGGAAAGCTGTGAGTGCTATTATATGATACAATATCAGTACTTGTTGCATTTACAACTTGTCTAAGTCCTATCATCAACTGATTTCAGCCAGTGTATGGCTGTGGATTGACTGCATCTTTTGAATGGAATGTTGGCATATTGGCAGTTAATTTGAAAAACGAATGAAATCATTAATTATTTTACACAATATCTTATCATAGCACTGGCAAACCACGGTTGACCACCACTCCCTGACCAAAATGGCTGACCTTTATCTCATCATAAGAAGGTTCATATCCAGTCTAGTATTCTAATTCCTAATTCTATGGGCGCGGTGGTGTGAGAGATTGGGTTACCCCAGACAGTCCCCACGGATCACTAAATGGATCTGGATCTCACACTTGGGCGCACATATTGAATGCCATAAGTGGTCTCCCAGGTCCCCTTCAGTGGTAGGAATGCTCAGTCTAAACCGTGGTCAGTTTTCCAAAAATGTTTCCACAAAAGAAAAAGAAACGGCCGCAAGGAGAATCTAAGGTAGCACAAGGAAGCAAAGAAGGAGTTCCATGCTAATGTTTGGTGTTTGTGTTTTTCTGCAGTGCAAATACTATGCTTTTTCAGCATGCTGAATACGCCACTAGGTTTTCATTTTTCTTTCATGAATCATACAGTACAGTATGCCTCTGGTAGCAGAGGTCAACAGACTAGAGAGCTTCTCCTGCTGATTGCCGCCTCACACTATTTGGTCCTTCATGCCTAACCCTAACCCTAGCTTCATGTTGTCGTGAATTAGTCTAGTCAGTATGACCTGATGACTCCTCCAGTCCCCAGACAGAAAGCTTGTAACTGAAACTAGGAAGGGACAAGAAGAATGGAAGAAGGACAGGATGCGGTCTCAACCACAAGCAGCTAGAGAGCAGCAAGACCCAGTCAAAGGCAGAGAGGAAATGACGGGTGCGGGTGGACTGTATGCAGATGATCCTCTGCCGGAGGGTGGAGGTTCATCTTATATGGCGACACCCCCGTCAAACCTGGTAGAGTTGCCTGATGGGACATGGCCATGAAGCAGATGACACCACGGATTGTCGTCACCTACGAAGGAACCAATGTGTTCCCTGACTCTGTGTAGACATCACGTGTAAAGGAGACAATGTGTTATGTATCTTTGCTTAAATGTCACGTGTAGGGGGGAGGATGTGTTGTGTGGCTGTAGTCAAACGAGGCATGGGCTTCAGGAGCTGATTGATGTATTAGAAGTTAGAATACTTTGTGGGGTAAGGTAAGAACAGAACTTAATTACTATTGTTAGAAGCTACTGCATTGTAATTGCTATATAAAAAAACAGTAAAATCCATCAGTTGTGAAGCTGTGGAACCAAAAGAGAAGTGTTTCCATTAACTAGTTAAATTACATTATTTGTTGAATAAAGTGCTAAAGAAGAAAAGTTGCATTATAACAACTATAGGCTAAGAGGGTTCACTTTAGGTGTCCCGTGGCCATACCATATTGTGGGCTTAAGCAGGAAACCACAGGGGAGCTTGAGGGTAACTGTGTAAAAATAGTTGAACCCCATGGCTGAATGTATCCTGCATGAAGGGCGAGATAATACGCAGTAAGAACCGGGCTACGCTGAAACAGTACAGAGCAGACTATAAATAAATATTGGATAGCTCATTGGTGTTGTACACAAAAATAGCCCCCGCTGACGCGTAGTATACCGTGTCACAAACTACCTATGAAATGTTAACAGTAGGAAGGAGTGAGCTAAACTCTGTGGCAAGCAGGGATAGACCAAGAGAGGGCTCCACTGCTAACTCAGCTTAGGGTAGGAAGACAGGGAGGCCCCCTCACTGGGAAAAGGGCTCATATCCCAGGATAATCCAGGCCTACAATGCGCGGTGGGAGTTGACCCACCCTGTGTGGTTAAGAGAAGATCCACAGGCAAAGACTACCCGCACGTGAGATGTCCAAACCCCGGTTGAACCAGAAGCCTAACCCAGGAACATCATTGTTCTTGCACTGAAAGTGCAGTATGTGTGTGCAGCCATATTATGGAGGATCAGCTCAGTAAATACATCTCTATAGATGCCGTGCAGGCCATGTGGTCCAGCGTTCGCTGTCGGAGACGACTGGGGTCTCTGTAATTATATTCCTTTAAATGAGCCCCTGAGAGTCCCTTTGTCTCACTCTTGGTCAGGAGACAGAAACACACCTCTTTGGAGGCATATGCATCTGTGTGTGTGTGTGTGTGTGTGTGTGTGTGTGTGAGAGTGTATACATGTGCGTATGTGTGTGTGCGTGCTTGTGTGCGCCTGTGTGTGTGCTTTTCATTGCTGAGGCTGGCGGGCGAAAGGGAGGCCGCAGTGGTTCTCACAAGTTAATTTAATTAAATCATAAATATGAGCTGGAGGCCGCCACCCAATTTAACGTAATGGATGATGTGGGCCAGTCCATCTCTGGCAACACAAAGTTCTGGACCTATTCAGAATGCCCTTGAAGCTTATTAAAAGTGTCTGGCACGGGGAGATGCTAGCAAAGTTGTTTAATGGCTGCCCAGCTTGCATTCTGCTTGACAGTTAACGCTGGAACACTGGTGAGATGAGCCATCTATTCCATTCCATTTTTGAATTTAGAATGTGACGGCATTCCATTTAAATTGAGAAAGATTGTCACAGTCAGAAAAGCATAATGAAGAGGAGTCAAAATGGCCAATAAAACCTCTACATCAGATAGTACAAAACAGATACCTGATCAGCTTGTCATTATACGTGATAATTAGGATACGGTGAAGGAGAATCCAGTGAAGTGATTGTCGTTGACATGTGTCACAAATAAAGTGACATTATTTCCCCATGGTGGTGGTGCTGGCTCATCATGTTCAATAATCTGTCTGGACTCATGATTGGGTCTGTTACCAGCCAATCATCCTACAGACAGACCAGGGGGAGGTGCTGTGTGTTTAAATATTTTCTTGTAACGATGTATTAAGACGGTAGGCAGGGGAAATCATAATGCTAAATGTACAAATGAATATTCCCTGCTGATTTAATTTATTTCTAATCTTAGTTTTGTTTCGCAAAAAAGTGGCATAATTTTATTAATACATTAGTAAGTATTCTGTAATCTTATCCAAATTGTTGTCTTAGTTAAATTTATACTTTTGCATGACATACTCATGTCCCTTGTCATAAGTTATTTTGGACTTTGTGTTTTTCATCTCATTGCTGTGAGGAATCATCTGTAAAGACAGACAGATGTTACTAGTTGGCGCTTTGTCCCATTCAGCACAGACATCCTTCCCTTCCATTGGTCCCCTGGAGTGCTGCAGGCTCCCTAATAGGCCTGGTGCGAGGGTGTGTGGAATGGGACCGCACAGGGTGATGGGTAATGGAGTCATTAATAACGCAGACCTCCCTTAAGATGCTCAGATGTTCGTTAGGCAGAGCCACAAGGGAACCAGCAAAAAGGATGGAATTTGATTTAGAACCGAAAATGCAAAGTAAGCTTTTGAAGATGATCATGTTTATGCTGCCAAGGGCCCATTTTGCTACTTAATCAAATTAATTGATCCACACACATACTGCATGCACACGCAAACATGCATGCATGCACAAACACACAAACACGAACACGCACACACACATAGAAGCCATTTTCTCATACAGTTTTAATATTTCCATCACATGTGCAACACACAAAAAAAACGAGGTCTGCCAAATACAGAACTCCATATTTGTACAATAACATTTGAATAACAGAGAAGAGAACTGTCCTTTTGCTGCAGCAGGAGATGGTGCTTAATTTCCTGTAAACTGAGTACGAACAATTCTCAATCAAAAGGTCAAAACATTAAAGTTTCATACAAAAGTGCATCTCAGGTTCAATGAATGCAAAATAATTTACATAACAGAATGATTTATATTGGTGTATTATAACGCCACAATGGCTTCCAGCTTGAGCAGAGAGTAGAGCAATGAGATACCGCAGGAAACAGGGAAGGAAGGGGAGAAGTTGGAAGCTCTCAAGGAGAGCCCAGGACATAAGTTTAAGCACATCCCCCAGAGAGACCTAATACATGTAGTCTCCACCACGACCCCAAATTAAAATGGATTTATTCCCCATTGCAAAAACAATTTAAATACAAAGAGCTAAGAAAAACGACATAATTTTTCCAGTAATCTCCAGGCTTGAACGAGCAGTAAACATTAATAACAGAAATGTACAGGTCTGAGTCAGTGGGCTGGAGATTCCCCCATGATGCTATAGGAGACACAGGTGGGTTCACAATGTCTCTGTTACCATGCCAACCAGAGTAGCTAGCTGGCCTTTTCAAATCTGTGTCACTGCTTTTGCATATATCAGAACCCTGTCCTGTTTTTCCCCAAAAAATTATCTTTGTCTCATTTGAACTTGTCCATGCGCAGGTAGGCAGGCGGACCAGATTAAATGCACCACTTAGTCCTCAGCTGGTCTTCTGGAATGGCAGCCATGTTGGCATGAGACCTGTGATGTCATGTCAGGCTCTGCTGGTGATTGAGCATCCTGCTACACCAGGTCAGGATAGTGTCACATACAGGAAATGTGCACTGATGAAAAGGGTCCTGACTGACCATACCACAACTTCCTGTTCCCTATAAAATAATACCCCACATTGGCACCCTGTTTCTCCAAAAGTTCCATATCTTCTGATTGACAGTGGCATTGTCTGTTTAGATTTTCTCTCTCTTAATTTTTTTGGGACAAACGGTTCTGAACTGTACATTAGCAAATACTGTACTGTATAAGACTGCAATTTACCTGGAGTTATTAAGCAACACATGAAGAAGAACTTCTATTTACAAAGATAGTTGGCCAGTTTTGTTGACATGGCGACCAGACAAAGACCAGAGATACGTTTTTCTGTCTTTTTTTCACACTTCTGTCTTTCATCTGTACTTTTATTTTCGTATGTGTGACATGGTTCTTCCTGATGTGAAGTGAATCCAAAGTTCAGTGCAAAAGAGCCAGTGACTGGGTCAGACATGATTCTCCTCCTCGCCGTATGGTTCTCCTCTGCTCCTCAGGCCCAGTGACGATCTGCCTGGTTAGCTGCTGTGCTGAGTCAACGTGTGGTTCTGGACGGGAGGAAGAACAGAGAGGGAGAAAGAGAGAAAGGAATAAAACGACTGAATCAAGATTAAATTCAACATAAGGACATTTAGTATCATTCAACATTTACTCCAAGGGATTAAACATGGTTAAGTCCTCTCCTGACACACTGACACGCCAACGCTGAGCTGACAACATCTCCCTCCCTCCAACATCTCAATCCCCAACCATCAATACCAATATCAGATCAATGGCTGTGGACATGGAAACAACAGTTACCATGTAATATCCGTGATGGAAGATATTAACACACACACACCGGTGGGGTGCGGTGCAGTGAGAGAGAGTGGTTGTAGTGGGCTCAGCTGTGCCAGCTAGGTTCTTTAAAGGAGGTAGTGTGTGTGTGTGTGTGTGTGTGTGTGTGTGTGTGTGTGTGTGTGTGTGTGTGTGTGTGTGTGTGTGTGTGTGTGTGTGTGGACCAGGGGGTGTGTAACTGGTGTCCCTGGTGGGCTGAATCCAGGTCATCTTTTGAAGTACTGCTAATCCCTTTAATGCAAACCACATGCCCCACTTGCTGCGCGCTGTTAAAAACATGGCCTTGGACTCGCTACACTTCCACGGAATAGGCACACCTGTCACACACTCATCAGCACGCACACACACTGATTACACACACAAAGAAGAACAGTGACATACAGTTCAAACACACCCACACACGTACACAAACTCCTACTCTGGGTAGGCTTGAATTCTCTTTGAATAAACAACATGGAAAGACCCTGAACCACAAAAGGTTGTGACTCCTTCAGTGAGCCTGAGCCATAAAGGTGAGTTTACCAATGCACTGACTGCAGTCACCTTCAGTTATCAACATAGCAGAATCCCTCAGGCAGTCTAGGCCACGTCCGTTACTCCTCTCCCCTCCATCCCCTCTCTCTTTACCCTTTCAAGTGCCTCCATATAAAGCATTTAAACACCTCGACAGCTTTCCTTTCAGCCGGGGCGATTACTTTCCGACAGGTGGGGTAATAAGCTGTTTGACGGGGGGCAGGAGGGAGTGTGACCCCTAGAAGGGTTAGCCTCGGCTCACCTGGGCCCCCGCGCTCCTTTTTAAAGAGCCGGCCCCAGCCTCTCTCTCTCTCTCTCTCTCTCTCTCTCTCTCTCTCTCTCTCTCTCTCTCTCTCTCTCTATGAAATAAAGCTCCTTTAAGTGAGTCTGGGAGGAGACTCCCCACGGGACGACCCCCCCCCCCCCCCCCCGTGAAGACATCCGTGGCATTGCCGGGGAGGGACAGGAGCACGGCAACCATATTAATGAATGCGGCCCATTACCCGTCAGCCTGGCTCCTCAGTGACTCCTAGAAGCCCCTGCAGTACGTGACTTCAAATGGCAGGATATTGACACGGAGCAAGCAAAGCGGCTGGGAGAGAGTGTGTGTACTTTTTTCTGTGTGTCTGTGTGTGTTAGGGAGAGAGAGAGAGAGAGAGAGAGAGAGAGAGAGAGAGAGAGAGAGAGAGAGAGAGAGAGAGAGAGTGAGAGCGAGAGAGAGAGAGAGTGTATGTGTATGTGTGTATGTATGTGTATGGACCCCAAAGGAATGTAGCTCCTTGGATATAATGTAGGGCTCGTAACAGCTATTAGAGGGGAAAATAACCCCCCTGGGGAGTATTACCCCCCCCTTCCCAGCTCTGTCTGACACACACTGCATTCTACCTTCTCCTTAAACATGGCAGGAGTTTTCTCACTGAGGGCTTTTTCAAGGACGGTGCTAAAGGACTTCAGTGGCTGTGGCAGCCATGCAGGCTGGAGGGAAACAGAAAGACAAGAAAGAGAGAGAGAAAAAAAGGTAAAATGAAAATGATACCTTTACCTCTGTGGATATTGAACTCCACAGAGTGGAAGATAGATACTGTTCTTTATATCAGTGGAGAACGGAGGGAGGGAGGGAGGGAGGGAGAGCGATAAAGAGGGAGAGAAAATAAGAACTCCCATCATTCATTTTCCACTTATGAAATTCTTGAAGGCCAATGTGCGCAACCATTCACACAGTGAAATACAGCCAAATACACGTCCTCAGCTCCTAACCTCAACCCACCAATGTCACCTAAATCAATCATGTCAATTCATAACAGATTGACTGACCCCAACCACTAAACCCCTTACCACCAATCTCCCTGCTACTCCATCTCCTTTCTTCCAAACCCCCAATCTCCCCCTCTCTTACCCTGCATCTCCCCCCTCTTTTATCACCAATCTCCCCTCTCTTACCCTGCATCTCCCCCCTATCTTATCCCCAATCTCCACCTCTTACCCCCACTCTCCCCTCTCCCTTACCCCCACCGTTCTTCCCGACCACCCGCTGGTCTACATACACCATGCTGCTGTACTGCAGGTCCCAGTTACCAGCAGAGCCCAGGTAAAACCCTTAGCAGTCAATTCTCCACTAAATAAAGTTTTGCTCTGATCAATAATGTGCATCCGCCTCTCGCCCGAATGAAGCCTGTGCCTGAGAAGGCTCTTCTTCCTCCACTCTCTCCTCCTCCATCGACTGACTCTCTGCCACATTAACCCTCCATCCGCCTTTCATTTGATTACATCATATTGCTGCAACGCCCATGGGGGGCGAGAGGGAGGGGAGGGAGGGAGAACGCCCGGCAGGGGTCCTGTGTACCCATGAAAATCCATGCAAATGTCTTAGGGAATTTAACAGAGAAGGAGAGGGAGGAGAGGGAGAGAGATAGAGAGAGAGGGAGGAGAGAGAGAGGGAGAGAGGGAAAGTGCATGCAGGCTGGGGAGTTGATTTATTAACTAATCACTCTTTATGTCGTTTCCCATTCCTCTGGTCTCCATCCAGTGCAGCAAGGCAACAGTGTACCTGTTACATCAGCCCTGCAGAGGAAAAGGCCAAACAGATCAGCTGCCATTTTAAACCTCTCGTTTACTCCTAGGTCACGTTCCCCTGCTCAGACGTTGCATGCATCAACCAATGGTTGCCTGCCACATTATCGACTGTGTCATCGACTGACAGATTGCTATAACATAAATTATGATGTGGTTAGCTGATACTTAAAATGCCTATCCAGGTGTTGTAAGATCTGGCATGCGTCAGCAACGACTGGGCAGAGGAACGCGCCCCTAATCTACAAACTAGGCAAAACTATAGCAGGACTAAGAACTCAGCTCATTCTTTCTGGTTGTAGCCTGTCTTTTACAACCCAGAGCTGTGACTTTATAGAGTGTTCAGAAAGCTGATAGAATGAACAATAATGAGTCTCTAAACTTGGGTCTCGGGGGACCCCTCAAACTGGGGGAAAGTCGAGACGACATTATATTATACAAGCGTGATGCCTGGCAACACAGAGCACAGACAAGGCCAGGTGAAAAACATCAGCTTCTCATTAGGCCTCAAAGAGCCATAATTGAAATGGTAAACATTTGTTGACACGTTTTATGAGCACCAATTCACAACAATTAGTTAATAATTTTCTGCAGAACAATTTAGGGAGTTGAGAAGTCTGGTAATTTGATTTGCGACATTTCAACTGACATTAAAAGAGAGAAAGGTGCCAAAACAATCCACTCTAGTTCGAATCCTAACTTGAGATGCATGTATGCAACGGAAACTTTCTTCTAAATCATATATTCACATCAACAAGAGTTTATAGCAATTCTAGCTCTAACTCCACTTCCTTCTGCTACCTGTATCCATCCAAGACATCCATAATTGTGTTAATGTCATACAGCCCACAGCCCTAGCAGCGGCTATTCCCCCCATATCGAAGCAGTAGTGGCTATACCCCCATGTCTAAACAGTAATGGCTATCCCCCCATGTCTAAACAGTAGTGGCTATCCCCCCCATATCCAAACAGTAGAGGCTATCCCCCCATGTCTAAAGAGTAGTGGCTATCCCCCCCATGTCTAAACAGTAGCGGCTATCCCCCCCATGTCTAAACAGTGATGGCTATCCCCCATGTCTAAACAGTAGTGGCTATCCCCCCATATCGAAGCAGTAGTGGCTATCCCCCCCATATCCAAACATTAGTGGCTATCCCCCCCATATCCAAACAGTAGTGGCTATCCCCCCATGTCTAAACAGTAGCGGCTATCCCCCCCATGTCTAAACAGTAATGGCTATCCCCCATGTCTAAACAGTAGTGGCTATCCCCCCCATGTCCAAACAGTAGTGGCTATCCCCCCATGTCTAAACAGTAGCGGCTATCCCCCCCATGTCTAAACAGTAGTGGCTATCCCCCATGTCTAAACAGTAGTGGCTATCCCCCCCATGTCCAAACAGTAGTGGCTATCCCCCCATATCCAAACAGTAGTGGCTATCCCCCCCATGTCTAAACAGTAGTGGCTATCCCCCCATGTCCAAACAGTAGTGGCTATCCCCCCATGTCTAGTCAGTGTGTGCTGAGACTACATCTCTGCTCGTAGCTGACATAAGTCTGCTAACATACAGTACCTGCATCTGGAGAACAGGGAGCAAGTGGAGCGCCAAACCACAGAGATCCAGCCACAGCATACTGCTAGTAATCAGTCAGAAGTTTAATTAAGACATAAGCGCAGAGCACGCTGCTGCTCAGATACGCTGAGACAAAGAACTCACAGGCCTCAGAACAGATCACAGGTTAAACAGGAACACTTGGCTGCTTTAAGAGACACATATGGGTCATGCTGTATCCGAACTACTAACACAAAGCACTGGGCAAATGCTATTTCATTCCACACAGCTCTAAATAGCCATTGTTTTCTATGGTGTTTTCTCCAGCTACTGTAACAAGACTGATCATATCTAACCTGTATACGTGAAGTTCACCCCTGCGACCAGACAGATCAGGCCCATGCAGTCCCAGTACTACATTCCCTGGGTTCTGTCTGAGCAGTGATCGCGGGTTGAATTGAACCCAGGCCAGTATTGACTCAGTCCCCCTTTGCTTGGAGTGATCTCCATTCTACACTGTTGGCTCGGCCACTAGGGTGTAATCTCTTCCTGTTTGGCCTCAGGCCAGGCTTACTGCTGGCCAGTTTAGCTAATGAAGAATACAATCAAATAAATAAATAAATACAACTAATAAAACTAGCAGCTGGCATTCTCCACAGTCAACACTTATTAGGGCATAGGGAGGGCTGACCTCGTCCGCTGTTTGGCCACCACCGCCACGGTCTACTTGGTAACCAACCGTCTTGTTTGAAGTGTGGTGCCTGGAGACACGTGGACATTCAGTATAGCTCTGGGGCTAGCGTGGAGTGGGAGACTATGGTATGTGTCTTATTGTGTCTAGCCTCTGGCATGTAGTTGTGTGTATAATAGCCATGTAATAAATGAGTCATAGCTGGAATTGTCTGGCTGGATATACAAACAATGTTGAAATCCTTCTCTTTTCAGATGCAACGGGAGAAGACAGATCCCCTATTGGAGGGCTAGTGTGCTTTGTTCCCCCAAATGATAATCATTACCCTGTCTAAGTAGACAAGTGAATGGTGCTAGAAACCCACTATGCAGTGATCCTGCTGTTTGACTGAGGTAGCAAAACAACTGCACAACCACTGGGTTATTATAGAGCCTCATTAAGTGAAGCGACTACAGAGCGGCAAAGAGGGAAGGAGAGAGAGAGCAGAGAGAGAGGGAGGGATGGAGAGAGGGAGGGGAAGATAGAGATGAAGAGAAAGGGAAGGGAGATGAAGAGAAAGTAAGAGAGAGAGGGAGAGAGAGATGGTGAGAGAGATACATACAGAAATTGAGAGACAGCAGAGGGAGAGGGAGGGAGATGGGAGAAAGTAAGAGAGAGAGAGAGAGAGAGAGAGAGAGAGAGAGAGAGAGAGAGAGAGAGAGAGAGAGAGAGAGAGAGAGAGAGAGAGAGAGAGAGAGAGAGAGATGGCGAGAGAGATGGCGAGAGAGAGAGAGATGGCGAGAGAGATACATACAGGAATTGAGAGAGAGCAGAGGGAGAGGGATGGAGATGGGGAGAAAGAGACAGTGAAAAGAGAGAGATAAAGAAAGCAAGTGAGCGAGAGAAATATACAAATCTGAGCTGATTTCTGAGGTGATAGCTACCAACACAGATGCCTTTCCACACTTAAAATGGAGACTATGACTAAAGAACCCAATTAAGGATATTTCTTAGGGGAGCCATCTTGGGAGGGAGATGGGGGGCTGAGTCTTGGTGGGACGCGAGCCCTGGGCTACACACACTAATTAGACTGAGGCAGGGGGGTGGCAGGGGGGTAGAGGATGTGAGATCCAAGCATGTCACTGAGAGGGAGATGGGGTCCATGGAGCTCCACAGTTCCAGAAACAAAACACAATTACTCTCACATTTAACCACTTCACTTACAGACAAGAGTTTGAGTGGTGTAGCGATGATGCTACAGCACAGCAAACTCACTCATACAATACTCCTCTCTCTGTTCTCTGTCTTTCTGTCTTTTGCTCTCGCTGCTATACAGTGAGGGGAAAAAGTATTTGATCCCCTGCTGATTTTGTACGTTTGCCCACTGACAAAGACATGATCAGTCTATAATTTTAATGGTAGATTTATTTGAACAGTGAGAGACAGAATAACAACAAAAAAATCCAGAAAAAACGCATGTCAAAAATGTTATAAATTGATTTGCATTTTAATAAGGGAAATAAGTATTTGACCCCTCTGCAAAACATGACTTAGTACTTGGTGGCAAAACCCTTGTTGGCAATCACAGAGGTCAGACGTTTCTTGTAGTTGGCCACCAGGTTTGCACACATCTCAGGAGGGATTTTGTCCCACTCCTCTTTGCAGATCTTCTCCAAGTCATTAAGGTTTCGAGCCTGACGTTTGGCAACTCGAACCTTCAGCTCCCTCCACAGATTTTCTATGGGATTAAGGTCTGGAGACTGGCTAGGCCACTCCAGGACCTTAATGTGCTTCTTCTTGAGCCACTCCTTTGTTGCCTTGGCCGTGTGTTTTGGGTCATTGTCATGCTGGAATACCCATCCACGACCCATTTTCAATGCCCTGGCTGAGGGAAGGAGGTTCTCACCCAAGATTTGACGATACATGGCCCCGTCCATCGTCCCTTTGATGTGGTGAAGTTGTCCTGTCCCCTTAGCAGAAAAACACCCCCAAAGCATAATGTTTCCACCTCCATGTTTGACGGTGGGGATGGTGTTCTTGGGGTCATAGGCATCATTCCTCCTCCTCCAAACACGGCGAGTTGAGTTGATGCCAAAGAGCTCGATTTTGGTCTCATCTGACCACAATACTTTCACCCAGTTCTCCTCTGAATCATTCAGATGTTCATTGGCAAACTTCAGACGGGCCTGTATATGTGCTTTCTTGAGCAGGGGGACCTTGCGGGCACTGCAGAATTTCAGTCCTTCACGGCGTAGTGTGTTACCAATTGTTTTCTTGGTGACTATAGTCCCAGCTGCCTTGAGATAATTGACAAGTAGTAGATCATTGAGATCATTGACAGCCCGTGTAGTTCTGGGCTGATCATTGCAACTCCACGAGGTGAGATCTTGCATGGAGCCCCAGGCCGAGGGAGATTGACAGTTATTTTGTGTTTCATCCATTTGCGAATAATCGCACCAACTGTTGTCACCTTCTCACCAAGCTGCTTGGCGATGGTCTTGTAGCCCATTCCAGCCTTGTGTAGGTCTACAATCTTGTCCCTGACATCCTTGGAGAGCTCTTTGGTCTTGGCCATGGTGGAGAGTTTGGAATCTGATTGATTGATTGCTTCTGTGGACAGGTGTCTTTTATACAGGTAACAAGCTGAGATTAGGAGCACTCCCTTTAAGTGTGTGCTCCTAATCTCAGCTCGTTACCTGTATAAAAGACACCTGGGAGCCAGAAATCTTTCTGATTGAGAGGGGGACAAATACTTATTTCCCTCATTAAAATGCAAAGCAATTTATAAAATTTTTGACATGCGTTTTTCTGGATTTTGTTGTTGTTATTCTGTCTCTCACTGTTCAAATAAACCTACCATTAAAATTATAGACTGATCATTTCTTTGTCAGTGGGCAAACGTACAAAATCAGCAGGGGATCAAAACACTTTTTTCCCTCACTGTAGCTACTTCAGTGACAGAGTGAATTTTAGGAGTGAATTTAAGGCTACTGTTAGATTTGGGTTGAAACTGTGACGCCGACAAATAACAAATACACTCTCACGTTTACCCACTTGTTTTGAGAGAGTGAGTCAGAATATTCACTTTTAATAGCCACACAATTGGTGTCATGTAACATTTGTACAAAATTGATGTGTCTAATAATTATTGTACTTGTTTGAAAATGAATCCTTGAAAAACTGTTTAATCTGACACTGTGAGGACCAGCTAGCCTCAACAGTGTTTTGTAAAAACACATTTAGAATCAAACATTTGCAAAGTGAATCTCTTTAAACAGGTAAATTAAATCTGTAATACATTTCTCATGCGGTGTTAATGACAAGCTTTATCAAAGTTGCAGAAAGTCAAATAAAAAGTGTAATACAAATGTGTGTGTGTGTTAGGGAACAGATCCGGTGATGAATTCCAGCACAGAGCATCCCTCCCTCTCTTTGTTTGGTTTTAACTTCTCCCAGTAGTACAGCGAGCGGGGGAAGAAGAGAAAGAGAATGCCTCAAAGGCTTCTGGGAGTTTTTGTCATGTTTCCCTCCAGACACTGTGTTCGCATGTACACATCAGACCCACCCTTGGAAAGGAAGAAACAGAGACAAATACTGTACATACACACTCACACAGACGCACAAACGTACATACACACTCCCGTGTGTACACACACACACACACACACACACACACACACACACACACACTGCAGAGAGAAAATCCTCCTAGGATCATTAGGTTTGTCATGCTGTCTAATTCTGATCCACCTACAGTAGGAAAGTAGAACACCACGACTGTGTTACGTGGTCGCCATTCATCTCACAATGTTTACGTCCCCTTTTACAGCGCTGACGACTGTTTGTACAGCGTGTTTGTACATCATTATAAATACACTTAAATATTAATGATAGCGCATCACAAACACACAGTTGTGCCCTTCTATTCATTTCACTTTCATTTTGCTGCTCAACCTTTTGAAATGGTGACAGCATTGTGGTTGAAGAGAAGAACAGCTTGTCATTTAAAAAGATAAAACCAGGAGTTCAAACGCATGTGAAGCTATCACACTTGGCAAATGAAGATAGTGTAATCTCAAAAAGTTATGTTTTTGAGGGCTAAACAAATGTAGATGAGCCTCAGAGTGGCGCGTGTTAGGGACATGGTGCACTCCAGGTGGGGGCATATTCCAAATGGTAAATTCTAAAATCAATCTTTATGGGAATTATAGTCCCAATGTACCGTGTCAGAATGATTCTTTGCCTCGTTTCAGTTTCTCAAAGTCTGCGAGAGCCTCAAAAACAAGGACAAACATCACACTCCAAAAAACACTGACAAACTTAATATTGTTTAAATCATATTTAGTGTGATGATTGTCAGTATATTTTGGCTCTCGCAGACTTTGAGAAATTACCCTAAAATTGTTTTCAGATCTACAGTAGAGTGGGCTATGCTATTACACATGCTAATGCAATAATATCATTAGCAATACAGTGAACCCATGGTGATTATTCTGCTCTATTTCCAAGGTATCATCTTTTCCCCCAATTTTTAAGCATTTTCCCAAAAAATTATGGATGTCACGACATGCATCGCTGTTTACACTAACCCGGCGACACCCCCGCTAATACATTTCCTTAATTTAAAACATAAAAATCGGTCACAGCTTGACAATAATGGCCATCACACACAGAGGAAGATGGAGAATCTAATTTGTGAGAAGAAGACGTACAACATGATACAGACGTGTTCTTGTCACTTCTAGCACTCATTACAGAGCTGGAGCTTTGGACCGAGCATCATCGTCTTTGAAGGAATCCTTTTAAAAGACACTCCAATTAAGGTGCGTGTCCTGTGGGTATCTAAGGAAAGAGGGAGAAGGAGAAGTCCTAATGTACCCACTGACTACCCTCTCCTCTCCTCTCCTCTCCTCTCCTCTCCTCTCCTCTCCTCTCCTCTCCTCTCCTCTCCTCTCCTCTCCTCTCCTCTCCTCTCCTCTCCTCTCCTCTCCTCTCCTCTCCTCTCCTCTCCTCTCCTCTCCTCTCATCTGTCAGTTGGAGCAGGACATACACGACTTCTAAGGAATGATCATGAAAGTGAAGGATAAAAATCTCATCCCAGAAAAAATGTAATCTTCACTGTTGTGTAACTTGAATATCATTGTCTTGCCTTAGGAGGAATAGGGTTCATCATTATACAGAGGAAGGGAGGATATACTGTATCCCACTCTTGCACACTTGTGGTGGAACTGCAAAATGAACTTCCACTTATAGAAATGTCAGACTTAAGCTCTGGCTAATTCACTGCCACCACCATCCGTTAATATATCTGCCTCATTAATCCTGTGGAATAGCAGAGCATTGTCAGTGGCTCAGTGCCTTATGTAATAAGGAAGAGACACATCCACTGAATCTAATACTTATAAAATTCAACATGGCCAGTCCTGAGTACCCTCAAACCCCTGGCTTGTCCAAACCAGGGTAAGGGGCTGAGACAGTCTGAGCATGGGAGGAAGTAAGAGTACAGTAGATTGGGGAAACTAGAAGTGGATGTGTCATCTTCTGGATGTGACATAGATGCATGGGTGGTGGGCATTAGGGGTATTGGGGGGAGAAGAGGGGAAGAGAGAGAGAGAGGGGAGAAGAGAGAGAGAGAGAAGGAAGAGAGAGAGGAGAGGAGGGAAGGAGAGAAGGATCATAGAAGAACACGAGAGCTAGGAGAGAGCGAGCGACTCTCTACGGAAGACGGATATCGCGAGAAAAGACCTTAGAGAGAAGCTCATATATCATATCTATAACGACGAGAGATTCTCGAGAGGGATAGAGATAGAGCGATAAGATAGATAATAGAGCGAGAGAGAGGAGAGCGTGAGGAGAACAGGGGAGACACACAGAGCCACACCCCATAGCACAAACACTGAACCATTGGCCCTCCCCATCAGCAACTCATGAGGGGGGGGGGGGGGGGGGGGGTGTTCCTCAGGAGGGTTCTGGAAACAGGAGAAAGGGGGAAAGAGAGAGTGATAAAGACAGATAGAAAGGGAGAGAGAGGAGTGAGAAGGAGAGAGAGAGAAAGACAGACAGAGAGCAGAGTCTCTTCTGGACTGTGGATTCTGGGTCACCGAGGCCCAGGAGTCAGTCAATCTGTCCGGTCCGAGGGGGTGGCCGGGCAGGGGGTCCTGGGAGGGCTGATTAGACGGATGCTCTCCCATCATCCATCTCGACAGGCCGGTGAAAATTGGCTACCCCTCGCAGGGTAGAGTTCACAGGGGGAGGCGTTAGGGGAAGATGGGTGGACGGTGGGGGAGAAGGGGGAGGCGGTGGGGGAGAGGGGGGTATCGCTGGATCCCTGTCACAGCCTTTGGTATGTTTCAGGGAATCTCAGCGGCAAATTAATAAAATATCGTTGCTGCTTCCCTTTACCTGCCTACCATGGCAGGCAGCTCTCCCTTTCCTCTCTCCCCCCTGCCTGCTTCCCCTCTCCTCTCTCCCTCCCAGCCTGCACTAACCCCTTGACCTCTCTGACTACTGTGAGAGATGAGGAGACCACCAGGTAGCCAGAGATTGGGCCAGAGTGTCAGGGTGTATGAGGAGAGAGAAACTCAAAACTCCAGGCAGACCAGGCAGAGAGAGAAGCAACATCTATCTCCTCATCGCTGGATGACAGCTTCACAACAGAGAGATTGACAAATGACTTTACCATGTTAGGGAGACATGTTTGAGTAGTGATATAAAAAACAACAACTTGTATACGGTTCATAAACTTTGACTAGCATTATGCCGCAGTATGGATGCAGTAGAAAAGAGACATCTATATTCTAGAAACATTGTTCACATTGTACAACACATTGTAGGTCATCAAATAAAAATGTCATTTTCTTTGAAAACATGTGTCTTCATTATTTAAAAAAAGGAACTCCAGGGGGAGTCAGTGGATGGTCTTGGTGTTAATCAACTGCTTGTGTATCTTGTATTATGTGAATTTATGTAAATGCCGTGTTCTGAATGTATGTTTAAGTGTGATAAGCCTGTGTGTGTGTGTACGTGCGCATGTGTGCACATGTGTGTGTCTATGTGTGTATGCACCCACTGGGGGTTGCTTCTAGAGCATGCCATGGCACAGGTTGAATATAATGATAATCTTATCCCCTAAACTCAATCCATGCTCTCCTTTTCATAACCCTCTGCTTCACAACAAAGTGCCATTGATCTTTCATGTTTGCTCTCCGTCTCTTCACAAAGAGTGTAAAACAATACAAGCATGAAACAACAACTCTGGGAGCTGGATCCCAAAACATGTCAGAGTAAAAAGTAGGAAAAACATCCCCAGGTTATTTGAGATTGTTTACAGGTACTTGTAACAACCCTGGCTATAGCGAAAACACTCGAAACACTCGTTCCAATGAGAGATGACGTGGGATAAATAAGATACTGTGTTTGCCATGTTGTGTCGTGAGAGAGAGGACACTCACAATACTTGTTAGTTACTAATAACCTTGTCCTCCATGAAGAACCTGTATGTTTGTGGGTGGTGCATCAAGACTTATTTTATTCATGCCGGTCTGTTCTGTAGACTCAACTGACCGGTAGATAATGATCACATTCACCTTCCTCCTGGTACACCATGGATCTGTGTTTACTGGCTGAATGTCAATATGAACATCTTCTGTCTGAGGGTTCCAAAATGGTTCTGCGGCTGTCCTCATAGGACAACCCTTTTTGGTTCCAGATAGAACCCCTTTTGGTTCCAGGTAGAACCCTTTTGGGTTCCATTTAGAACCATTTCCACATAGGGTTCTACATGGAACCCAAAAGTGTTCTACCTGGAACCAAAAAGGGTTCTATCTGAAACAAACAAGGGTTCTCCTATGAGGACAGCCGCAGAACCCTTTTGGAACCCTTTTTTCTAAGAGTGTACTAGTGGGTTTCACAAGGTGCTTGGACATATGAAACATTGTAATGAGCGTTGACAATAAATTGTCTCTACTCAGATGGCTATATTCATATATTTTAGGGTCCTCAGTGCTCAACTATGAGGTGCCAACACACAATGTTTCAGATACAAGAGGTACTAATAGAAAATGAAAGATTTATTTTAAAAAATAGGAAATATGTGGCATGGCCTGCCAGGGTACAATTCCCCCAAAGATGATCGAGCTACTTGAAAACAACAAGATGACGACTGAAATAATATAAGGCCTTTTCATTTTGTTCAAGTACTCTGAGGATAGTGGGAAGAGATGGCTTCAACATGGATTATCTCTACAACATTGAGAGTTTCAAAGAGTCCAAATTCTAACTTTGTTGAAGGGCAGATACGGCATCCCTACAGACACAGATCATATTTAGCCATGAGTGCCTCCTCTGTGATTATGAGGCTGGGAGTTGGTGTCATATTATTGACTGAACTGTGTTTTTTTCTCTGTACAGTATAGTAATTACTCCCCAAAAAGCACATTCTCCTAATCCTTCTAATTCCAGATATGTTAGGTCTAATAAGCAAATCAAATCATTCCGTATCTGTTGATCACAAATGAGTTTGGAAACCAACTGGAGTAATTCCGTCTGAGTCTCCCAATCTCAACCGGAACAGAGAGGATGCGAAGTGTGTGTGTACTCCTGCTTGCACGTGTATGTATTTGTGTGTGAGTGTGTGTGTGTGTGTTTGTATGCATATGTGTGTGTGTGTGTGTGTGTGTGTGTGTGTGTGCTTGGTGGTGGTGACCACCAACAGGTCTAAGTCTGGGTTTACCTGTAGCTCGGTCTGGAAGAAGAACTTCTGTGGGCATGGGGAGCAGTCGTATATCTTATCCTCCTGGCCATGGGCTGAGAAGATGTGTTGCTGGAGCTTACTGGCCTGGACAAATACTACAGACAGAGCGAGGGAAGAGGGAGAGAGAGAGAGAGGGGAGAGGGGGAGAAAGAGAGGAAGAAGAGAAAGAAAGTGAGTATCTTTTCTGAAATCATAGTAAAATAAACATTTTGCTAACAAAAGGAATACAGCTATCAGGAAATAAGGGCAAATGCAAAATAAACCACAATGCCATAGGCTAAATGAAACAAAAACAAAAAGGAGAAACAAATTATTATAAAGCCAATATATATGCATCAACAATAGCTAGGAAAATGCACTAAATCCGGGCGACTGAATATGTTGTACGGACAATAAAGGACATAATATATAAAGGAAATAACTGAACTTTGACAGGCCTATCTGACAGTCTTTGAACAGAGTGGTCATACCCGGCTGTGATGCTACGGTACAGTGAGCTAGGCCATAATGTTCTGAGAATAATGAGGATATTTATTTAGAAATACTGTGGGGACAACAAGCTAGAAAATAAACAACCACAGAAGAAATTGGCATTGCTTCAAGTGCAAAAAAAGGCCTCCATTACTCTACATCGCTAATGATATTGACAATATAAATATTCATGCAGATGCACTATTTATTTATGCAGAATAAGGCTACAGTCACTATGATATAAACACACACACTCACACAACTTGCCTGGCACTTAAAATATATAAATATATACTATGCATTTGTGCTTTAATTAAGCCATAGATAGTCCACGTTGCTACAGTAGACTAGGGAGACGTGTGTATGCGTGTGTGCTTGTCTGTGTAATTTGTGTGTGTGTGTGTGTTTGTGAGTGAGTGTGTGTGTGTGTGTGTGTCTCTTTCTGTGTTCTCAGAGGAGCACTTCAAACATGGCGTTTGTTATCCCAGACCCCTGTGCTTTAAGGAAGTACGTACCGGCTGTCTACTCTCTAAGGTCTGGCTGCTTCCGAAAAGTTACCGTGTGGGGCCAGGCTTCATTTGAATTTCTTAACAGCTCAAAATAACTTTTCTCTTAATGCATGCACCGCCTGGGCTGAGGGGCTGAGGGGCTGAGGGCCGCAGGGAGGGGAATGAAAAGCAGCCGCTAAAGGTGAGGTGTCTATTTGAGAGCACTTTGGGGTCGCATCAGCCCATTTGCCCCTGATGGGAGCCACACTGCAGTGCACAGGCGCATGGTGGAGCTCGCAACGTCAACATGTCCCAATTTGAGTGCACCAGGGAGAGCTGATATTAATTATTGAGCTGTATATGCCTGAGGCTCACTTAGCTCCGGCAGACAGACACCAGGATGGCCGCCACCTACGGTCCTTAAAAAAACAAAAAACAAAACATTTATATATCTCTAGCTAGCGCTTTACATCCAGAGTGACAGACACTGCCTGGCTACTAATATCTCAGTGACAGCTGTCTGCGGTACACGACTAAACTAAACACCGCGTTGAACACTGACATGAACAAAGTCACACTAATGAACCAACAAACAGCGTTACAACTATGGTTATGGGTTATGGCCCACTTTTAAAAACAAATTATCAGAGCGTCACAAGGACAAACAGACAGAGATAGAGATAGCTTGCTGGATGTTCTATTCACAACAGCCTTGTTTTATCCCAAGGTTAACTACAACATGATAATATCCAACACTTTAAATATATAACTATTTGTGCTAAGAGGCTACAATGATTGTGGCTTTGATTGTGTTTTTGACATATGTTTTTAAACTGAAAATAGGTTAGCAGACAATAGCTGTTTTTTAAAGCCATGGTTATGTCTGTCTGCTCTGCATAGAAACAGGTAAAACCAACAACAGTGGGTTATCATTATGTCTTGGACTGGGAGGCAGAGAAATCCAAAGAAAAGCCTCAAGACTGAGAGGCGTTCATATTCCCAACCCAACCTCAACACGTTTTCTCTCGGCTGCTAAATTGTGCCCTGGACACGTTTTCATCTGGGGGTTGGGTTGCAAATCCCACACCTACCTACAATACAGTACACCACAGTGGTGTCAGGTGAGCTCCTATTCCTCATATCACGATGTTTACATGTCTTCTGACCCTGTTCATACATCAATATTCAGTTGGTTGATGTAATTGTCAGTTTGTACCAATCCTTGAATCATATCCAACCCTTACCCTGGCAAATATGCATTCACAGCTTGATCATCAGAAATGAATGTTGCAACACTATGCGTAAAACCCAGTGGGCTAAGAGACAGTGGGCTAAGAGACAGTGGGCTAAGAGACAGTGGGCTAGCTAAGAGACAGTGGGCTAAGAGACAGTTGGCTAAGAGACAGTGGGCTAATAGGGGAGGGTTGTCTAACTTTTTATTTTGCTTTTTATAATGCATTATTTCCCGGGTTTACATTCGCCCTTTTGCAGGTTTTACTATATAATTTCTTCCATTCTAGCCAAATGTTCTAATCTGCTTGCATGCGCCTCCCCTACGTCAAGGTGTTTTGGTACTTCCCTTATGCATTACACTTTTCCGCGCGCTAACTATACCACAGGCCAATATAGTCTACCAGTCTAACTGTCTATCCTGCCCTCTATCCACCATTCATAGTGACAATAGTGGTAGGTGGATTGTTTGTCCAGATCTGTAATAGGCTAACTAGCAATCCTATAAAGCTGCACCAATGTTCAATATAAGCGGAGAGGCAGCTCAAAAAAGCTCCCCTATTGATCTTCTTTAGGGACAATATAATTATCCTACCTAGATTAGACTACAACACCACATTGCAATGAATAATTGCATTATTGTTTTCAAGTGAGTACAAAATTCTAATCTAGGCTGTAAACTGCAGTGAAATTGTCATTTGAATAACGGAGCAAAAGCCCTGTGATTTGAATTTGGATCAGTTGTGGGTCTACTCTCTACAGTTTATAAGGCCTATAAAGGCACAGTAGCAGGTCAGTCTGGCTGTATTTTCAGTTCTGATACTGAATGCGCTGTCTGTTGCATCATCATTCTCCTAAATCGTCCTATAATAATGTGGCCACATATGCTCCCAGCAGAACCAGTTATTCAGGAAAGCCTAATGCGTGCTCTGCCTCTCCGATCTGAGTGGCTATTCCTTGCGCACCTAGAACCTAACGCTTCAATATAGCCTAAATATTTGTCATTTAACTTTTTCAATGTATTACCTTTTAGGGGAGGCAGGTAGCATAACGGTTAAGAGCGTTGGGCCAGTAACCGAAAGGTCGCTGGTTTGAATCCCTGAGGCAGCAAGGTGGGAAAATCTGCAGTTCTGCCCTTGAGCAAGGCAGTTAACCCCCCAACAACACCTGCTCCCCAGGTGCCGATGACATGGACGTCGATTAAGGCAGCCCCCTTCACCTCTCTGATTCAGAGGGGTTGGATTAAATTCAGTTGAATGCATTCAGTTGTGCAACTGACTAGGTATCCACTTTCCATAAACACAACCAGTCACAATGTTTTAATCTGATTAGGCTACTTCAAAAATGTTGAAAATCTGATTTCCACCTAGTTGATCATTGTCTACAGCCGGCTCTGATCACAGTGTAAGTCTATTGAAACAGGCCAGGAGAGCTGTGGTGGTTGGCGAACACTCAATCTTCTGGCCCATAGCCTTGTGTGTCATCGACTGTGCCACAAAAGCATGCTGAAGTGGCAAAGTCGATATCCACGTTTATAAACACTGGGTTGCTAAAGTTATTGTTATTTGTGGTCGGAAACATTATTTTGAGTGAATTGTATGAGGGGGAGGGTGTGCAAAAATGTTTTACAATACAAGGGGAGGGTCGTGCGAAAATATTCTTAACGTTGGGGAGGTGGGTGCATTTTTTTTTAGGACACTGCCATAGTAAAAGCAGAGAGAGGAAGCAAGATACAGAGCAAGAAACCGAGAGGCTGAGAGAGAGAAAGGGAAAGAGAGGGAGAGAGAGACAGGGGAGAGAGGGAGAGAGAGAGAGAGGGAAAGAGAGGGAGAGAGAGAGACAGGGAAAGAGATGGAGAGAGAGGTAGAGAGATAGGGAATGAGAAAACAAGTGTGTTCGAAAGAGAGCGAGTGAGTGCGAGAGAGCGAGCAATACGACTTTGTGGACTTTTCTGGCTGACTGAGTGAGCAGGTCTGGGGGTGGTCTGAGCTGAGGCGGCGGGGCGGAGGGGCCAAGGTCTCCTGGCTGTCGGGGATATTACCAGTCAAAAGATTGGACACACCTACTCATTCAAGGGTTTTTCTTTATTTTTACTATTTTCTACATTGTAGAATAATAGTGAAGACATCAAAACTATGAAATAACATATATGGAATCATATAGTAACCAAAAAAGTGTTAAACAAATCAAAATATATTTTAGATTTTAGATTCTTCAAAGTAGCCACCCTTTGCCTTGATGACAGCATTGCACACTCTTGGCATTCTCTCAACCAGCTTCATGTGGAATGCTTTTCCAACAGTCTTGAAGGAGTTCCCACAAATGCTGAGCACTTGTTGGCTGCTTTTCCTTTACTCTGCGGTCCAACTCATCCCAAACCATCTCAATTGGGTTGAGGTCAGGGTGATTGTGGAGGCCAGGTCATCTGATGCAGCACTCCATTACTCTCCTTCTTGGTCAAATAGCCCTTACACAGCGTGGAGGTGTGTTGGGTCATTGTCCTGTCGAAAAACAAATTATATTCACACTAAGCGCAAACCAGATGGGATGGCGTATTGCTGCAGAATGCTGTGGTAGCCATGCTGGTTAAGTGTGCCTTGAATTCTAAATAAATCACTGACAGTGTCACCAGCAAAGCACCCACCACACCATCACACCTCCTCCTCCATGCTTCACAGTGGGAACCACACATGTGGAGATCATCCTTTCACCTACTCTGCGCCTCACAAAGACACAGTGGTTGGAATCAAAAATCTCACATTTGGACTCATCAGACCAAAGGACACATTTCCACCGGTTTAATGTCAATTGCTCGTGTTTCTTGGCCCAAGCAAGTATCTTCTTATTATTGGTGTCCTTTAGTAGTGGTTTCTTTGCAGTAATTCATCCATAAAGGTCTGATTCACACAGTCACCTCTGAACAGTTGATGTTGAGATGTGTCTGTTACTTGAACTCTGTGAAGCATTTATTTGGGCTGCAATTTCTGAGGCTGGTAACTCTAATGAACTTATCCTCTGCAGCAGAGGTAACTCTGGGTCTTCCTTTCCTGTGGCGGTCCTCATGAGAGCCAGTTTCATCATAGCGCTTGATGGTTTTTGCGACTGCACTTGAAGGAACTTTCAAAGTTGTTGAAATTTTCCGGATTGACTGACCTTCATGTCTTAAAGTAATGATGGACTGTCGTTTCTCTTTGCTTATTTGAGCTGTTCTTGCCATAATATGGACTTGGTCTTTTACCAAATAGGGCTATCTTCTGTATACCACCCCTACCTAGTCACAACACAACTGATTGGCTCAAACGCATTAAGAAGGAAAGACATTCCACAAATTAACTTTTAACAAGGCACACCTTTTAATTGAAATGGATTCCAGTTGACTACCTCATGAAGCTGGTTGAGAGAATGTCAAGAGTGTGCAACGCTGTCATCAAGGCAAAGGGTGGCTACTTTGAAGAATCTCAAATATAAAATATATTTGGATTTGTTTAACACTTTTTTGGTTACTACATGATTCCATATGTGTTATTTCATACAATGTAGAAAATAGTAAAAATAAAGAAAAACCATTGAATGAGTAGGTGTATCCAAACTTTTGACTGGTACTGTACATCACCATTACTAAGCTGTTTGTGGGAGGAAAAGTTGATCCTGCTTTTATTCTCCCTTTCAACTTTTTTATTTATTTATTTATCTATCTGTTTTATTTACTTGTGTTTCACACCCAGGAATTCATGATAGGACAGCTATAGATTTGCCGGCAACGTGAGTCAGTGCTCTCGGACTGATGTTATTTCATTGTTAGTAATAAGCTTCATTTTGAGATGCTTTTTTACTTTTGTTGGATTCAACAACCTCATTCTATGATGACAACAGAAGAGACTGGCAGTTCATGGAAGGAATGGTAGGAATGGAAGGAATGGAAGGAATGTAAGGAATGAAATACAGAAATCAACCTTTTTGTTATACACTTTCTATTTTCAAAAAAAGACAAAGAACACCCTGGAGTTCTGTGACTTTCATTCGCCTACTGTGACATAAGGGGGGAACACACACACATGACTTTCATCCTGAACACTTTCTTCTGTTTTGTTTGTCTTAACCCTCATAATATTCCCAATCACATTTTCCCTGGCAGCCCCTTGCAGCTGCTCCTAAGGGTTCAGGAAGAGCAGACCCTTCTAGCTGCAGGCTCCCCCACTTCTGAAACCTGTCAAAGCTGTCCTGGGAGAGTCAGCCTCACTCTCTCTCATCATCCAGGGGCTTATGGACCTCTTTGCTCTCCTCTCCTCTCCTCTCATCTCCTCTCCTCCCTTCCACTCCCATTTACCCTCCTTCCGTTCCCCAGCTCTCTTCTCCCCCTCCCTCCCTCCCTCCCTCCTTTCATCTTACATTCACAACTTGCCATTTGCAGAGCTGTACTGTAGCTTTCCCCAAAGTTGTCTTCTTCTTCCTTTATATTACTTATGTTTTTCATTACCAGCTCCTATATGGTCTGTCCATTCTCCTGGTTTCAAAATGGGATCTACCGCCACCAGACTAGAGTGTAATTAACTCACTGACAGTCATTTTGCCCCTCCGACACAGACATGCCTCGCCGGGTAAACTGGATCATTTGGATACAGACTTGTATCACTGAGTCCATCTTAAGTGGCATAAATGTTTTCAAGGACAGACTGGGTCTCACAGACAACCGCCCCCAACCTATTTCTCCCTATCCAGAAAATGCCTGAGGAGGCTAGTGTGATCTGAGTCTCAGTCTGTCCCCTCCCTCCTTCCTCAACAGAAGCAGGCCTTTCAGTCTCTCCATCCATACTCCCCATGGTCCACAACTTCCATCCATCCATCCCCCCGTCCCCCGCCTCTGTGTGTCTGCTCTACCACCACTGTCCTGAGGGTTCTCTCTCTCTCTCTCTCTCTCTCTCTCTCTCTCTCTCTCTCTCTCTCTCTCTCTCTCTCTCTCTCTCTCTCTCTCTCTCTCTCTCCCTCTCCCTCTCCCTCTCCCTCTCCCTCTCTGCATCCCTCTCTCTCCTGCGCCTGCCGCCGTGATCGATATGGATGCAGAGGGAAAAGGGGGACCTGTCTGTCAAAGCTGCCGGTAGAAAATGAAGGCTCAGATGAAGAAAGCATGCTCTGTATATTAAACGTCCCGACCCTGGCGGTTGGAGGAGGAGGGGGGAGAGGGGAGAGGGGGAGGAGGGGAGGGAAATATCAATAAGCTGCTGCTAAATGAGAGATAAGGCCAAACAGCAATGAGAGGAGATGGGGATGAGAGGAGGGGTGAATACTGAGAAAAGCGAGAGAAAGGAGGAAAATGAGTGAGCATCTACTGGACAATAGGACAAGAGAAGAGCTGAAGATGGAGGAGAAGAGCGGAGGAGTGAACATATGAGACAAGTAAAATGATGAGACCTGATCAATTCAAAATATTAACTGAGGAAAAAACACTGAGGTAAAAACGAGTGAAGTGATTAAAGAGCTGAGGAATGGAAAAGTGAAAAATAAAGAGTATAGCTAAAGAGCTGAGAGAGGGGGAAAAGAAAGAATGGCGAGGAGCTGGAGGAGAAGTTAACGACTTTGCAGATTTCATTATAGAGATAGTTAACCCTGTTGACACTGAAGGAGGGCGTTATCCTCTCCGGAGGAGTCCTGCATGGTCCTTCCACCTCCTCGCACACAGACAGATGAGATCATTACAGCTATCAGCACCACCGACATCCACAATTAGCACTTCACTCTCCCTCCTTCACTCCCTTCATCCCCCTTCCTCTTTATTCCACTCTAGCGTGCTCTTTTCCTCCCTCTCTCTAGCCCTCCCTCTTCCGCATCTCTCTTTCTCTCTCTCTCTCCCCAATTCTCTCTCTATCCTCCTCTACCCTCTATCCCTCTGCTCATGACAGTCTGAGGGGTCTTGATTTAGAGGCAATTTGAGTAAATATTAAGATGCACGCAACAAACTGCTTTCAGCTTTGACTGACCTGCCTTTCTGACCTTTTCATACTCATTTAGAAAACCATTTGCCATTTCAGACAAACAATGAGGTTTCTGGAAATTGCTTTGCATTGTAATGCATGTCTGTGGGTGGGGGTCTCTGAGGACACACATACACACACGCAGACACTCACCTGTGAAGCAGACCGGACACTTGAAGGTGCCGCCCATGCCCTCAAAGCTGTGCTCGATCAGGTGGCATTGGAGTTTGGCTGGTGAGTCGAACGACTGACTGCAGAGCTTACACTCATGGTTCAGGCCCTCTTCTAAGGAGAAAGAAACAACACAACACACAAAACAACATAGTTAGAAGGGTGAATAATCAGAGTATAAATAGCAGAGAGGGATCAAGAATATATATGATTTATTTTCTCCTCCTTCCCCATTTAATTCAGCTCCAACCCATTTGTGTCAAAGGCTCCTGCATGTAACTCCTGGCTCATACAACAGTAATATAATGTGTGATCTAGACCCATCAGGCATAAATTGAACGGCCAGTGGGGGGCCTAATTGCACAGGGGAGGTCTTGCACTTTGAACACGGCTGCACTTTGATTGGCTAACACGCAAATTAATTTCTGTGGGCAACTTGGTGTGGGCAAATGGCTGTAGATTTGGTGAGTGCAGTGCTAGCTTGATAAAGGGAAAAATGTAATGCATAAAAAAACCTGTAGGCTAATTTACATATTAAAGTATAAAATGTAAGAATAGCCAAGCGTGGGAACATACTCATTTCATAATCAACATTTAATTATAAACAATATGAGCAACTGAGAATATTATAGATGTGTCAACATCTCAACGTTTACACAATTCCCTTCATTATCACCATGGCAATTAAACTGCTCTCTTTAACGCAACTATCAAATTCAATCTCATAGTTTTCAATAAAGATGAATGCCCATGTTTTCATGTTATAACTAATATATAAGTTATAATTCATACATGAAATGAGATATTGCTCATGGCAATGGCCAAACCAACTGTGAGTCTGCATCCATTCCCCTGTTACATTAGAATGTATGACACGTCTCTCCCTGACATTAGATTACCTCGGACTGATATTTCAGACATTGATAGCTGAAATAAATGGCATTGGTTCAGACACTGAACCTGCCCTACTGCTCATTTGCTGCACAACGATCCGCTGACTCAGCATTCCACAGAGCTGAGCTGCCCATCTCCTGAACTACACGCCAATAAAAACCAAGTGCACTCTGCTATCCATGCAGTTGGGCCTGTACTCTGTCAAAATCCCCCTGTCCTGTGAAGCATGGGTCCAGGCATGGGGCCAGCGAGAGGGCGGTGAAGGGGGATGGAAGGAGGGTACCTGGGTGCCTATCCAGGGCCAATCCTTCAGTCTCTACAGCCCAATGCCCACAACATGGGCCCAGGGTACCAGACGTGCAAACACACAACCCACCTAACCAGCTGTGGCCATCCAATGCCCTGGAGGATCAGAGTGGAGGGTTACCGGATGGGCCTTGGGCAAATCTGGCAACGCAACTCACAGATCTGGCAACGCAACTCACCTTAACAACAATGGCCTGCCTTGAACGGGACAGATTCACCCCAGATCCACCTAGATGCCAGTGTTTTAAAACCCCAGCCCACACACTGCCAGTGACTTTCCCATTTGTACTTTTATGGTCAATTGTTGTTCCACTGCTTAAAGCACACATTAAACAACACGGGCTGGTTCACTCCACTAACAACATTTGGCAACGTTATTAAAAAACTGATAATTTCTGAAACCTGCAGCCGATTACAACAAGCTTTGCAAAATAATGTTAATAAAGCATTTTAATATCAAGTTAAATGTTATTGGTTTAAATCTTTACAAGGGAGGTGTAGTCACTTAATAATAGGTGCTACATTATAGTACAGTAACTGTACAGTATAGTAATAAAACAAATGGAGGTATCTGTACCTGTTTTGGTGACTAGCTGCCTATATCATGTAATACGGTATAAAGTGACCCATTGACCTGGGCTGTTCTAGGAGGGCAATGGGAAACATGTCACACAGCATAGTGAGTCTATTCATTTATTATATACAGAGCATGTTTATGCTCTATATCACCACATGTTCCTGTAGGCCAGCCCTCTTCTCCATATAACTCTGTAAAGCAGATGAGGACACTCTACTACGACCTCAAAACAAACATTTAAAGCTGGTCATGTCTGGATGAGCTCACAACACAAGCTATTGTCTTACTGTGTGTGTCTGGTTAGTGGCTTAGGTTTTGGATGGAAAGATTTAAAAAAAACTATTTTATCACAGAAACCAGAGGAGTTGATTGTGTCGCCTGTAATCATGCATTCCCCTTTGAAAGATGAGACACGGTGTGTGTGTGTGCGTGTGTGCGTGCATGTGTGTGCATAATTTGTGCATGTGTGTAAGATAGCGACAGAGTTCTTTGATCCCCATTCAGCCTTGCCGTCTGTGTGTGTATGTGTGTTCAGAGCGCTCCATGCCTTTGCCCATATGTGCAGCCCTGGTTTGACCCTGGAGCACACTCCTGTTCCTTCAGAGACCTGACCTGCTTCATTATGCAGATAACTCTGCACCTGCCCAACCGTCTGACCTTGGGTGCATGCGTGTGTGTGTGTGTGTGTGTGTGTGTGTGTGTGTGTGTGTGTGTGTGTGTGTGTGTGTGTGTGTGTGTGTGTGTGTGTGTGTGAGGAAGAAAGGTTTGCATATGTCTGTGAATCTAAGATACGTGTTTGTTTGTTACTGTATCTGTGTGCATGAAGATTGTGTGTTAAACAATACAGTGCAAGTGGGACGACTCAGTGTGTGAGTGCACGAGTCTGTTCGGCACTGCCCGCCCCCGTAATGTAACTGTGTATAGGGGGACGGGTTTGTATGCGGCAGGGGAGCAGGGGTTGGATCACACTGGCAGCCTGTTCCTTAGTGAGAGTCAGGGGAGGAAGTCAGCCAGCGCACCCCTATAGCTCCCTCATCGGGGTGAGGCCACTTCCTGTCGCTCCCCCAGCCTCCCCCCAGGGCTGTCCAATCAGCACGGAGCATTCAGGAGCCCCCACCCTGGCCCGCTCTGCACTGACTGGAGCAGACTCTGGATATAGTTACAGAGCCACTAGGGACTGGCAGCTCTCTCTCTCTCTCTCTCTCTCTCTCTCTCTCTCTCTCTCTCTCTCTCTCTCTCTCTCTCTCTCTCTCTCTCTCTCTCTCTCTCTATTTCTCTCTCTCTCTCCTCTCTCTCTCTCTCTATTTCTATCTCACCCCCCTCACCCTCCCTTCTACCTCCACTCTCCTGAATGTTCTGCCTCCACTACCCCCACCCTGTCCCCCTGCACTCATAAGCGAAATCTTTTAGATGAGAGCTTTTCTGTTCCTGCTCCCTCTAAGTGTCCCTGACACCAGCAAAGTAAGTCCATCTGCATATCCACAGGGCCTGGTGGCATGCCTAAGGTTAATGGTTTATGTATTTCACAGCTCCTGAAAAATACAAACATCTAATATATTTCCCATGTGGAAGGAGAGAGGGAGACAGAGGAGGAAAACTATTTTTAGAAAAGGACAGCCTTTATTATTTCTTCTTGTGTTTACTCTTTAGCAACCAAGCTGAGGTTCATGTTCTGTTGAAGGTTGTTTGGGACATTGGGGTTTGTTTTCCTTTTGGTTTCATCTGGCTGTTCAAGCACAGCTTTGTATACACTGAGTATACCAAACAGGAACACCTTCCTAATATTGAGTTACCCTCAGAACAGCCTCAATTCGTCGGGGCATGGACTCTACAAGGTATCGAAAGCGTTCCACAGGGATGCTGGCCCAATGTTGACTCCAATGCTTCCCATAGGTGTATCAAGTTGACTGGATGTCCTTTGGGTGGAGGTCCATTCTTGATACACAAGGGAAATTGTTGAGTGTGAAAAACCCAGCAGCGTTGCAGTTCTTCACACACACTGGTGTGCCTGGCACCTACTACCATACCCCGTTCAAAGGCACTTAAATCTTTTGTCTTTCCCATTCACCCTCTGAATGGTACACATACACAATCCATGTCTCAATTGTCTCAAGGCTTAAAAGTCATTATTTAACCTGTCTCCTCCCCTTCATCTACACTGACTGAAGTGGATTTAACAAGTGACATCAATAAGGGATCATAGCTTTCACCTGGATTCACCTGGTCAGTCTATGTCATGGAAAGAGCAGGTGTTCTTTATGTTTTGTATACTCAGTGTATAGTACAGTGTGTGTGTGTAGAGTAGGTTTGAGTGAGAGTGTGAATCACTGTGTGTGTGCAGTACAGTATGCATGAGGATTTAGTGTGGCTATAGTGCACACTAGTGAATACTGTTACTGAAAGACGCTACTGAGCTTTCTCAAATACTCTCAAGTATTGGGTATTCTCAAATATTTGACCAAAATTAAGTATGTTGCACTTGAGGGCTTAATTAAAATCTGTATCCTAGCCAAGTCCCCTCCTCAACCCACCCTACCCCCTACCCCCTACCCCCTACATACTACCCCCTACCCTATATAAACAATTCTGCTGAAGAGCAGGTCCAGTTGAAAGGGGAATTCAGGATCACTTGATAGTAATCGGATAGATTTATAATCAACTTCTCTCTGGGGAACTCTGAATGTTACTCACAAGCTCCCTCTTAAAGAAACCAAGTCCACCCACATCTCAAAATCTGGCAGCAACCTAACAAAGTTGTGGAGACAAAACAAAAGATGTCAACCAAAGACCTTTAAGAAGGTCATTTTCCTCAGGTGAGAATAATTAGTCATAAAAGTAGTAAGTAGACATAAAAAATGAATTGGAAACACGGTAGACAAACCTACAAACAGTAGACTAAACAAACTACAACCGGGGTCAAGTCAAGATTGAGGTCACACTCAGACTGCAGTCTCTCAAGGTATTATTGGTGCTCAATCAGGTCTAAAGATGATAGGCTTTAGACTGCAATATGGTGTACTATACACTACCGGTCAAAAGTTTTAGAACACCTACTCATTCAATGGTTTTTCTTTATTTTTACTATTTTCTACATAGTATTTTCTACACTACATAATAGTGAAGACATCAAAAATATGAAATAACACATATGGAATCATGTAGTAACCAAAAAAGTGTTAAACAAATCAAAATATATTTTATATTTGAGATTCTTCAAATAGCCACCCTTTGCCTTGATGACAGCTTTGCACACTCTTGGCATTTTCTCAACCAGCTTCACCTGGAATGCTTTTCCAACAGTCTTGAAGGAGTTCCCACATATGCTGAGCACTTGTTGGCTGCTTTTCCTTCACTCTGCGGTCTGACTCATCCCAAACCATCTCAATTTGGTTGAGGTCAGGGGATTGTGGAGGACAGGTCATCTGATGCAGCACTCCATCACTCTCCTTCTTGGTAAAAAGAAAAAGCACTTACACAGCCTGGAGGTGTGTTGGGTCATTGTCCACCGGTCTAATGTCCATTGCTCGTGTTTCTTGGCCCAAGCAAGTTTCTTCTTATTATTAGTGTCCTTTAGTAGTGGTTTCTTTGCAGCAATTCGACCATGAAGGCCTGACTCACACTGTCTCCTCTGAACAGTTGATGGTGAGATGTGTCTGTTGCTTGAACTCTGTGAAGCATTTATTTGGGCTGCAATTTCTGAGGCTGGTAACTCTAATGAACGTATCCTCTGCAGCAGAGGTAACTCTGAGTCTTCCATTCCTGTGGCGGTCCTCATGAGAGCCAGTTTCATCATAGCACTTGATGGTTTTTGCGACTGCACTTGAAGAAACGTTCAAAGTTCTTGTAATGTTCCGTATTGACTGACCTTCATGTCTTAAAGTGATGATGGACTGTAGTTACTCTTTGCTTATTTGAGCTGTTCTTGCCATAATATGGACTTGGTATTTTACTAAATAGGGCTATCTTCTGTATACCCCCCATACCTTGTCACAACCCAACTGATTGGCTCAAACGCATTAAGAAGGAAAGACATTCCACAAATTAACTTTTAAGAAGGCACACCTGTTAATTGAAATGCATTCCAGGTGACTACTTCATAAAGCTGGTTGAGAGAATGCCAAGCGTGTTCAAAGTTGTCATCAAG